GAAGATAGGCACTCGCTAGCCGCTCCCCGCTAGCATCGATGCAATCCCCGCCCCGGCTCCTCACGGGAGGGGCAAGGGTAGGGAGCCTGAGGAGGGGTTCGCCCTACTATGACCCAGGCGCGGCGCGCGCACGCAAATCAGCGGCCCCGCTGTCCGGGCGGTCTTGGAGGTCTCGCTAGCTCCAGCCTCGCTCTCCCCCCGACCAGCCTTACCGCCCCCGCGCCTCTGTTACGAAAGTGTTACATGCAGGAGTGATTACCTAGCCCCTGTGACCCTACCTGACTTGGTTTTACAACAACACCAAGTCACGTCAGTCCCAGGATATTAGGGAGGTGAGGTACTTACTATCTTTTATTAGACCAAGTTCTGTGGGTGAGAGTAGGGTGACCAGATGTCCCGTTTTTAAAGGGACAGTCCCATTTTGGGGGACTTTTTCTTATATAGGCGCCTGTTAGCCCCCCACCCCCTGTCCTGTTTTTTCACAGTTGCTATATGGTCACCCTAGGTGAGAGACACAAACTTTGGAGTGATACAGAGCACTTCGTCAGGTCTGGGAAAGATACCCTGACTGTCACAGTTAAATGCAAGGTGGAACAGATTGTTTAGCATAAGTAATTAGCGCATATGCTATGGGACCAGTCAAGGTAGAGTGTCCCATTAACACCTCTGCAGTTATCAGACAAAAAGAGAGGGTTAGTGGGTTACAAAAACAAGGAGGAGTCTTCAAGAGCTGTTCACACTGGCACTTTTCCTCAGTATAATTTTTGTCGTTGGGGGGGAGCGGGCATGTTTTTTTAACACCCTTGAAGGACAAAAGTTTTCCTGAGGAAGTGCCAGTGTAGACAAAGCCTTAGACATAGCCACACTGCTTATTACAACAATCTGTAACCCTGAAGAAGTGGGTTTGTTACCCACGAAAGCTTATGCCCAAATAAATCTGTTAGGGCTTGTCTACACTTCCATTTTATAGTGCTCTAACTTGCTGGCTCAGGCATGTGAAAAATCACCCTCCTGCGCGCAAGTCTGAGTGCTTTAAAGAGCTAGTGTAGACAGGCTCTGAGCTAATCCCCTTGTGGAGGTGGATTACCAGGAGCGCTGGGAGAACTCTCTCCCAGTGCTTGCTCACAACCACACTCGCAGTTCAAAGCGCTGCCCGGGAGCGTTCCCACAGCAGCACTTTGAAGTTTCCAGTGTAGACATACCCTTAGTCTGTAAGGTGCCACTGGACTCCTCCTCATTTTTGTAACCCATTAATCCTCTCTTTTTGTCTGATGACTGAAGAGGTGTTAATGGGCCACTCTGCCTTGAATGGTCCCTTAGAATATGTGCTAACTACTTATGCTAAACAATCTATTCCACCTTGCATTTAGCAGTGATGCTTGGAGTACCTTTCCCAAATGTGAAGAAGAGGTCTGTGTGCCTTGAAAACTTGTCTCTCTCACCAACAGAAGTTGGGTCAATTAAAGATATTACCTCACCCATCTTGTCTCTCTAACACCAAATGACATTACTTTTACATCTTCCCACTTTTGTTAATGTTGTGATTATTACTCAAATGAAAAATAACGCACAAAACCATATTTAAAAAAAATAAAGCTGGTTAGGAAATATTTTTCCTGCAAAAAATTCTGATGAAAACATTTTTATTTTTTTGTTTAAAATATTCCACAAGAAAAATGAGGGGGGAGGGTTGTAAAAAAAATTCATAAAACAAAAATATGTTTTCAACAAAAAACAGAAATGTATTTATTTTTGCAAAAACAAAAACAAAATAACCTTCATTTTTCACAAAACTCCATTTTCCAACAAAAAAACTTTTACCTCTGAAAAATGTGATGAGATTTAATAATAATGGCTAGGCTAGGTAAATGACAAATAGAGAGACATTTATTTCTTCTGTTGATTTAAAAATATCTGCCTTGACATCTACAAATTATGTAGATATCTAATTTGTGCAATTATGCATTATCATTAATGTTGGTCTCATCTTCCTATCCCCATCTACTACAGTCAACTGTTGTATCCTGTCTTTAATCTAGACTTAAATTCCCAGGGAAGAGACTGCTTACTGTATTTTTACAGCAGAATGGGGTTCTGAATTTGACTGAAACCTCTCAGTGCAGGTGTCAAACAAATAAATATTAATAATACTGTTATAATAAACAACAATACAAATCACAAATGATTTTTTCAGAATTATAGTCTCTGAATCTTGATAACTTTCTGATCACATGGCCATTTCATCTTGTTCAAACAGTGCCTTCTGCAGTGGCCTGTTCAATTGTTACCATGCTTCCACCATCTGGAGCCTGTTTGCTGCTGCTTCTGATGTTTTCATTGCCAATTAATATGCATTTTTAATTAGGTACTCTCCTGTTTATTCACTTTTTGCTAACACCTTCATTTGGAAAGCACAGTTTTTACAATTTCTGTAATATCCACTTTTCTTTCCAATGGAAAGTCAATTTATCTCAATAACCTTGCTTTGACTTGGTTATCAGTTACACCACAAATAATTCAGACTCTAATGAACCATATGTGTTAAATATACATATTAACATGACTTAGCTTTGTTATGTAGACCTGTAACTGTTATCTTGTTACAGTGTATCAATGTGGGGGAAGAAATTAAGGATGTTATTGACCCTTGCTAAGAAATCACAGGTACGGCTGTCCCTGAATTAGGATCTATCACCTAATTGATCTCAGTGTAAATAAGGATAAGGGACAAGAAAAGGTAAACTAAAAAAGTGCTTTATTTAACATAAGGTAAGTATATGGACAAAATATCTCAGTGGCTTGCATAGGTATGAAGCCCAAAACCCTCACCCTCTACAAATGACAGACAAAGGTATTTATACTTTACAGAACAAAGTTCGTCTGATTGTCTGCCTCAGCCTCGAGATGTTGGATCCGGACCTACCATTACGTTTGGAGATGACAGGCGGCACAGGGGGGACTCGGACCTTTGATAACTGCTGAACCAGGATTAGGATTAGGATCAGGATCAGCATCAGAATTACTTCTCAGGTAAGTAACTGTGGTGGTTTCTCTCAGAGATCTTACGGTGGTTCTTGAACGGACTATGCGAGCGCGGGCTGCCGCTAGGGAGGACAGCACCCTAGAGCCTGTGGGGCGGGCTTTTATATCCTCTAGTCTCTAAGCAGATTAGTGACTACCTGACCAGTCCTTTTCCCGCCTTTCCACAAAAGATCGCCAAACTCAAACAAAAGGGCGCCAAAGTTTCAAAGAGAAGGGTAGTCAACATGGCTGCCAAACAACTACTAGACACCATTCAAGATGGCGATTTTAACAAATGTTTACATTACCATTTTCCAGGTAAATAATACAAGATACCACATAGACATAAATCAAAGCATGCATATTAAAACATAAATACATGAATAATACTGTATAAGGCCGACCCAGAAACTAGTTTCTTGTAAAGAAAATGTTACTTTCCTATGTGACAGTCTTGGATGTATCACAGTATTCTTGAAATTTTTGCATGACTTTGTCTAGCGCAGTGGTTCTTAACCTATTTACCATTGTGGGCCACATATGCAGCTCTCTATATGTTATGTGGGCAACACAATATATATATACTACCTGTATGGCCCTGAGAATGTCACATGGGCCTCAGCTGTGTGCTGATTGGGTTTAGAACCACTGGTCTAGCGGTTTCCCATTCCCTTAATCTTACCACTAGCACAGTGGTTTTCAACCTGTGGTCTGTGGACTCCTGGAAGTCCAGAGAGTAGGTCTAAGGAGTCCGCAAAAGGCTGTCGTTACCACAGAAAAGTGGTTTTCAACCTATGGTCCGCAGACCCCTGAGGATCTGAAGACTATGGCTAAAATCTCTAAAAAGGTCCACACCTCCATTCAAAATTTTTTAGGGGTCTGCAAATAAAAACAAAGTTTGAAAACCACTGCACTAGTAGACCCCCAGTGCCTATAGGGCTATCACATGTAGCAATGTGAAGGATTTCACCCTTTCCAGTTTCTCAGTAACTCTATAGGCTTCCAGAAAAGTTTGGAAACATTTTATCCTGTCTTTGTCCAACTCCCATCCAGGCTGAAGGATTCAGGAACTTCCTTTGCTCTGGTTTTGTGAAAGGTTTAGTTTGCTTCTGACCCTATATTATAAGGCTGTGACATACATGAGTGTTGCTGTGAAACTGAACAACTTTATTTCTTGACCCCCACTCACAATGTAACTCCACTGTTTACTGTTACATTCTACTGTGCCCCTTCAACATCACGTGTCTCCACTTTGCCCACCTCTCTTGCACGGCCACTCCCCTCTGCCGCAACATCAGCTAGCCAAAACCACCAGGGGACTGCTCCATTGACAGCGCTATCCATCAAGGAGTCAGGGAAAAGCAGAGGCTGTGACTAGTCTGGTGTCTCACACATACAGCCCAGGTTGGGGCGATGTCCTGAGTGTGGGGAAACTGTCCAGCCAGGGAAGCTGTCTGAGGATGAGCTGCCCCGGGCGATGAGTATTCCAGGAGATCGCTGCTGGGTATCAGGGCAGAATGGCAGATCCCGGGAGGGAAGCTACCTGGGAAAGGGAAGCAGTTCAGGGTTGAGGACAGGGACCTGCTGACTGTTGGAGGGCTTGATGTGTGTGTTTTAAGGGGAGGGGTCCCTGCATGGCACTGGCTACCTCTACTGGCCGGGAGCGTGAACGAGGCAAAAAGACTCATCGTGGGCCGGGGAATGTCCAGAGAAAGGGACTTTCTCGCGGGTCCGGCGTGCCGCTCTGAGGCCGGGCAGCGGGGGAAGGCGGCCCGGACGGGTCAGTTGTGCAGCTTCGGGCGCGCGGACATAGCGCCCGCAGCGCAGCTCGCTACGCTCAGCCCCGCCCCGCGTGGGGCGCTAAGAGGAGCGTGTGCGCGCGAGGGTGGGTGTGTCAGGCACCAGCATTGGACCCGCCCCTCGCTGTTAGTCCCGCCCCCCGCGATTCTGTCACTTCCTGCTCCAGTCCTGCCGTCTGCGTCCGGGTCGCGCCGCCGGGTCCCTCCTTACTCGCCCGTAGCGGGACACGCACTTTCCCTGCCGGGGCAGAAGCAGCCGCCAGCGGCGAGGCCCGGGCGGCTTGTGCGTGGAGGGGAACACGGGGCTCCTCTCCTCGTCCCCACGAGGCGCCTGGGGCTGTGCCCTGGGGGGACGCGCCTGAGGGCCCCGGCTGCCTGCAGCGGGGCGGCCCCTCCCGCTCCCCGAGGCAGGAAGATGCCGGTGAAGAAGAAAAGAAAATCCGCGGCGGCGGCGGTAGCGGATGAGACCGGCCTCAAGAAATGTAAACTGGGCAGGTACCGTATCCCCGCCCCCCGTGGTCCCTGCTGCGGCGTCGCTAGGCTGCAGCGTGGGGGCGGCGTTGCTGGGCAGCGGGGTGTCAGCGCTGCACGGTGCCACTGGGCACGTGTTGGTGCCCCAGGGCGGGTGACACCGAGACCTGCAGTCACAGCTCAGAGTGGATCTGAAACGTGCTGTGGCTTGGCGACACGTGTCCTCACGTCGCGACATCAGTTGGCCGCGACATCCCATGGTGTCAAGGCGTGTTGGCATGTTGACACATGCCGTCCTGTTGCTCTGATGTGGGGTGTTGTATCGCAGCAGGGCGGCCCAGCCATTCAGTGCAGCACATACAGTGACAGATTGACATAACGTAATGGGGTCACAGACACATCTTGTATGTTGTGGCCTGGCCTCCATGTTTGGCTTGTTCAACAAGCTTGAGGGGGACTAGCTTACAACCCTGCCTCTCTTTCCTGTTCTATTTTGCATAACTGTGCCATTTACTGTGGAGCTTGGGTTGCTCCCAATATCTGTCTCCTTGTTCAAACCCACTGCATCACACTTGCTGTTCTGTAGATCTGGGAGGCTGGGTTTCATAGTACCCATAATCTCCAGGTTAGGTTACAGTATGTGTAGCAGAATGGGAGTAGGGCCGCAGGATTCACAACAAAACAAGGAAGCCTAGAATACCCAAAACAAGTGAGAAGCATCTCATTAAAATGAATGTATATACCAGAGATCTGCTGAGTATCTAAAGTCCCTTTTCAAAGGCCACTTGTGCTTCAGTACCAGATAAACAGATTAGAGCAACAATTAAACATTATAATACACCCATCTGAACAAAATATAATAGGAACTAATGAGTATAGTTTCTGTAAAGGGAAATTGTGCCTCTCTAATCTGTTAGAATTATTTGAGCATGTCAGTAAAATAGTGAGTGGAAGAGAACCAACTGACTGAAGTTATCAGGACTTTCAAGAAGCCTTTGAAAAGTTTCTCACAAGAGACTATTAAGGAAATTTAGTAGCTATGGGGTGAAAAGCAAAGGATTGTCATGGATTAGCAATTTGCTAAAAGACAGAAAACAAAGAATATGAATGGAGTAGTCCGTTTTCACCATGGCAAAAGGTTAGCAGTGGAATGCTCTAATGTTCTGTATCAGGGCCAGTGTTTTAAAAAAGTTATTAAACTTGGGAAAAAATAACCAAAACTCACTGTATGGCTTTGTTTCTTCCTAATTATTTACATTTTTAATCTCAAATTGATAGATGCTTTTCTTCAGCACAGCGTTAAATGCAGCTTGTCATTTAAGACCTGATTTTACAAAGTGCTGAATGTCCTGAACTCCCAGTGAATTTTGCAGTGTTTTATTAGGTGATAAATGTGCCCACTACCTCACAGCATTGGAACCTTCTTTTCTTGTTTAACATGTCTCATTTTAAAATTGCCATGAAGGAATTGCATAATTCCAAATCCTCTTTTACTGTCAGTTTTTACCTCATTTTTACATAAACTAATAATTTTAATAATGTAAAAGGATGTCTTCTAAGTTTGAAAGAAGACTTTTTTTCTAAAGGTGTTATAGTTTGTTAAAGATGATGTGACCACTTTTAATTGAAAGAAATGTAGGTTATAAAGTGTAATCTATGTAGAATGATGGACTGCACAGATTTTACCTCATACACATTTGCACGTCACAACGAAGTCATTGGGGTTTAGTGCACATATGCAAGAGCAGAACCTGATCTTTACTGTCTACATATTGTGTGTGTGTGTAAAATTAATGGATTTACCATGGATTGTTTATTGTTATTATTTTCTCTGGCATCCAGACACACTGTGCATGTCCATTTATAGGATATGTGATGATATAAACAGATGTTTACATTAGAAAAAGAGAACAAAAATTTTCAAATTTATATATGTAAATAAAAATAGTGTGACTCTCAAAGGTGCTGAACTCTGTGGTTCCCCTTACATGGGATTTGTGGGTGCTCAACACTTCTGAAAAATCAGGTCACTTACATTAGGATATTTAATTATGGATTTAGAAGCCTAACTAGGCACCCAGGTTTAAATATTTGGCTGACAACATAAGAGCTATTGCTGTTGCATTGATATTTTGACAGACCACATCCTTTTGTGCTCTTGCAAACTAGTAGTATTTTTAAATATCGGACAAGGAATATTTGTCATAAATTTGGCAGTGTGAGAGAACTATCTACAACTCTTATCAATGCATAGAATTTATGTGAAGTACTGTATCAAACTGCTGCCACTAAAACAAATTCCATATATGCTGATTGTTCATAAAGACATTTTTTGGTTTTAGTTCTGACTAGTAATAAAGTATTTGGAACTTAATAGAAAATAGTCATTTCTAAAAAATGAGGAACAGTGGATGTAACATTTTAGGCATGTGTATTTTTATAAGCTATTGCAGATCGCAAGCCTCTGGTAAACTGATAAGTGGAGAGGAGCATTTTTCAAGCAAGAAGTGCCTGGCTTGGTTTTATGAATATGCAGGTATGGAAGTAATACAGACATGTTTAAAATCATATGGGTTTGTTTGAAATTAACAAGCGAATAATAAATTTTAAAAAATTAACACTTGTTTTTTCACATTAATGTTTTTCTGAATAAATAGGCCATGACACATGAATTGGTGTTTCTTGTACAATTATGTTTCCAGCTAAAAAGTATCCCTCTAACTTCTTTAGAACCCACATCTCTTTCCCATCTCCTCCTCCTCCTCTTCTACTTGATCAGTACTCCTAAGGCTTATTACTTACTGTGGCCTTATTTAAAATAATACAGCTGTGTTGCATTGTACACAGTGGTTATCCAGAAGCCAAACAAGTGTCCTTCCTATTGATTCGGGGAAAACAAAACACAGTAAAACAGGGTGCGAAAAGATTCTCCAGACAGTGAAATAACATCTAATTATCTTTTGCATGACTAAATTTTGTTATTTAAAACTTAATGGGGAGGGTCATTCAGTAACACTGTGCATTAGTTCATAATACTGTACCCTAAATTTTTGCTTTAAGTTATGACAACAAACAAACCCCACAAACAGAAAAGATTTGTTTTAAACGTTGAAGAAAGTTCCCTTTTTATACATTAAGCCTGCTGTGCAGCTGATCACTCAGTTTAACAAAAACTCAGTGTGTTTTGTGTAATTTGTTAAGCACTTTTTGCTGCTTATTTTCTACTAAACAGTTAGAAATTGGGCCTTAGGAAATTGCTAATGTTTACAGAGCCCTTCTTCTCTAGAAAAACAACAAGGAGTCCGGTGGAACCTTAAAGACTAACATTTATTTGGGTATAAGCTTTCATGGGTAAAAAACCACTTCTTCAGATCCATGAAAGCTTATTCCCAAATAAATCTGTTAGTCTTTAAGGTGCCACCGGACTCCTCCTTGTTTTTGTGGATACAGACTAACACAACTACCCCCAATACTTGACAACTTCTCTAGATTACTGATTAAAATTCATCCTAAATAGTTTATGATTAAGTCATTACTGTTTGCTAGCACATGTGAAATGAGTTGGTTTTGTCCACTAGGAATTGGATCGAGTATCCATATCACAACTGACACCAATTGACACGTTTTTTTGATAGTCTCAGCTGAGAAGCTTAGAAGTGAACTACCTTCTCACCCCTAGCAGTGGCCTCTCCAAACTACATTTGAGGCAGATTAGCCTGGGCTCTGCCACATCTTTCCAGTGGAAAAGTAGAGGATTTCAATCTCAAGGACTTTTGGTCATTAAATTCATAGTGCTTTTATGAAATCTAAATTGATGTACAATTTCCAGTTTTATTTTATAGGGTCTTGAACTATGTGAATGTATATATTCTATATTTAAAAAAAAGTAATTTATTTATCATTGCATATTAACCAGTGGACTAAATGTTTTAAGGATACAATTAAATGATTTCTCGTCTAATCTAAACATGTAATCTTTTTTTAAAATATATTACGTAGAGAGGAAAAAAACTGTAACCACAATGAAGTTGCAACCCATTGAATGGATTTCATACATAGTGTCCTTTACAAAGTGCTAAGTGTCTGATCGTGCAAACACACTCAAGTACTTCCATTGAAGTCAATGGGGCTGTTAATTGTAAAGGAAAGTTCCTCATATTTGTAACAGTTTCAGGATTGAATGCTCAACTATTAAATATATTCCATGCTCAAGAAAACCACGTACTTGGACAGCAGTGTGCTACCTTGTACTAGATCCATAAACCAGTGGTTGTGCTCTGCAAACCAGATTCACTTTCCTGTCTGCCTATAGCACGCATTACCTGAAAAGGAAGTAACTTTTAATATTCAGAATTGACTATGGCTCTAATTCCATTAATCAGCAGAATTACCAGTTTTTTAAAATGAGTTCTGATTCAGGATCATAGCCATGATACTGCTAATTTAAGATGGCTATAATGCATGGAAAAGTATAGGTCTCTCTCATCCCCTCCAACGCTAACCGTGTACCCCAAAAAGTAGTAATTTCCAAAATTACCATAGTTGTCCCAAAAACATAACATGCACCCTTTTGTAGTTAGGTATCTGCTAAAACAGCATGTTACCAAAGTAATTATCCAGGACCTAGCAAAATGGTATGTAAAGTAAATAGACCTTCCAACAACATGTGTCCATCCAGCTTTGTTAATAGCCCGGTTGGAGTAATTGTTGGAACAAACTCATCAGAAATATCTGAAGTACCAGGGAGAGGATCATAGCAACAATGCAATGGATAAACCCCAGAATATGTCTGTATGTGTGTTTTGTTTTTTTTAATACGATGCCAAGTTTGCTGCTTGTCAGAGGCTTTATTATACAAAGGGGCAGCATATAGCATAAAACCAAGCATAACAATCCCAGCAAGCTCATCCTTAGATGCTATGTAATACATTTAATGTTATCACACTATTATTATTTATTATAAAATTACATCCAAAATGCTAAATTATCAGCTAAACTGAGGCTATGGACAATTATTAATTGGTAAATAATTAATTTCGTATAACTTGATTCCTCCCCTGAAAATTTAGGCTTAAACCATAATCTCAGCAGTACTTAAAAAATAATAATAAAAACAATAGCTACTTGGCCTCAGTGAATGCTTTCCTTGACAAAATAGCTGTTGTAGGGCTTTGTTGACTAGGTCAAAGCATGTTGAAGATGGCTGAGTTATCAAATAGCCTTTGAGGATACTTTGTAAGTGATAACTGGTACTCTACTTTTCATCTTCCCCTGCGTTACAGATAGGGTCATTTTCTACCACAAAGGCTATAGATACAAGTAATGTTGTAATTCTGTGTCAGTTCTTAAATGTAATTTTTATTTAATATCTCTTGTTTTTATGTATGTAATCAAAATTAGCAATGATTGTAATTTGAATGTTATATAACTTAGACTGATTTCTTTTTGGTTTTGAAGGTCCTGATGAAGTTGTAGGGCCAGAGGGAATGGAAAAGTTCTGTGAAGACATTGGTGTTGAACCTGAAAACGTAGGTTTTACTGCTGAACATTAATGGAAATTTAAGTAAATAAATCGATAAACTTTTTTGCATAAGACTAAATTTAAACTTCAATAAGTGAAAGGGGAAAGTGTTGTGGCTTCTTAATTATGGGGGCTTTTTGCTGTATTCTCAAGGTTACAATTGGGGAGGTTTTTTTTTTTTTTAAGTATGTCAACTAAGTTTATTTTAAAACAAATAGATATACTTTATTTTCTGAAATGTAGGATTAGGGAAAGATTGTCACACAGAATTCAACTAATTTACCTACATTTCACATTTTGGAATCCTTTAAGTCTGTAGCACAATCACTTAATTATTTGAACATTTTAGATGTTCTTCATAAACATCTAGATATCCATTTGTAAATTATAGTTGTAAATATTGTCTTCTTTGTATACTGACATTTTCCTTTCTTTTTTTCCTCAGATTATTATGTTAGTTTTAGCCTGGAAATTAGAGGCTGAAAGCATGGGATTTTTTACCAAGGAAGAATGGTTAAAGGGGATGACCTCGTTACAGTAAGAGTTTTTTATACATGATAGCATGTTCAAATTTGTGTTTGAGGAAGCAGCTATTAATTACCCTTCTCTCAATTTCTAGATAGTATGCAGGACTGATGATAAAATATAGCACCTTTTGCTCGTAGGTCTCCAATTCAAACCTGGCCCCAGTCAGTCACTGGGAGTACTAGACATATGCCATCAAATCACCAATTTAATGATTTCTCTTAAATGAATTGGTGGTCTTGTTTCAGACCCTATTAGACTAATGTTCACTTAGCAAAAATCATATCTTGAAATGCCATCCTAGTCAGCAGAATCATATCTTGAAATGTCATCCTAGTCAGCAGACACACAAGTGAGTGGATATGGAGATATACCAGTGTTGAGGTATATACCAGTGTTGAGGTATATTGGTGGGCAATATGGGGAAATTTGCATTATTGCATCCTATACCAACTCAGTGGATAGAGGATTTCAATATCCAGTCTCTATTGCTGTCAGTCATCTTTATTATTATAGGCGAGGGGCTGGAAATGACATCTATGTTTACATTGCCTAATGCTTTCCATTGTAAAAGATTCTTGGGACCATTCTTTGAGAAGCTCTTATATCTCCATTGTTCACAGGTCTTTGATATTGTCAGTGGGAAAGCCCTGAGGCTAGAGACGTCTTTCCTTTCTCTCATGAAATTCCATCCAGCTTTTTGCCGAGATACTAGTGAAATCAGGGTTTCCTTTCTTTCTCTTGTTGCTCAGGAAACTTTTGACAACATGCCAAGATAATAACTAAATGTGAACATTCTAAGGCTGGGCTGCTACGGCAACAACAGCACACACTGTAATGGAGATGCTAGGAAGGTGCCAGAGCAGCTGTAGTTTGGGGAAAAGAAAGCTGGGCTCACCCCCCTGATCTGGCACATGACCCCAGTAGCCTATGCTCCCTGCAAGGGTGTCACATGGGACAGGATTCTCCACTTCCCAGTGAGTGCTGGGGAAGAGAGAGTCAGACTGGGGTCCACTCTGTAAACCCACCTGGACCCAGCAGCTCATTTTCCCCCTTGACCTCGAAGGACATCTCATGGAGCAGGAACCCCCCTAACTCCCTCTTTTTTTGTTTAAAAACTTTTTAAAGAACTTTTTAAGAAATTACATACAAAAAACTGTCAAAAGAGTGTTATTTAGGTTGCAAAGTCAAGCACTCGAAAGTTAGGAAATGCCAGACTTACAGTTGCCTCTTCAACCTTAATTCAATCCCTTGTGTATATGTATTTTGATACAGTCTTTAATTACATGATTACATACTATTTTTTTCACAGGACCTCTGCCTCAGTCAGTGCACAGGATGGACGCACAAGAGGGCAAAATTAAGGTTACTTGTGCAACTATACATCTAACATTTCCTAACTTTGGAGTGATTTACTATGCAACCTAAATAATAATTTTAACATACTAGGTTTTTTGTATGCAATTACTTATATTTTGTCCAAAAGTGGGCTTAGTAGATGTGCAAGACGACGGTTTCTTGCCTCAGAGATCTTACATTCTACCTAGAAATTGACATGGAAGAAGAGGAATTAAAATCTGGGATTTTAATTAAATTTAATTCCGTATGTAACTTTCACCCTTTTTAACTCTCTCTTTTCTTTGTTTTTAACCATAGTTATTTTAGTCCTTCCCTTTTTTAATACTTCGATTGTTGTTTTAACGGAAACTTATTGACAACTCCTTTCCTTTGAATCGTTAGTTCTCCTTTTTTTTCCTTTATAAATAAAACAATAAGTCACCAGGACCAGGTGGTAATCAGAACTACTAACTGTGATATGTAACTTATCTCTTAAATCAGTCTCTGTACCAGATGATTGGAAGATAGATAATGTAAAGCTGATCTTTAAAAAAGGCTCCAGGGGCAATCCTGGCAATTACAGGCTAGTAAGACTAATTTCAGTACCAAGCAAATTGGTTAAAACTATAGTAAAGAACTGAACAATCAGATCCGGATAACAAAATATGTTGGGGAAGAGTTAATAATTTATAAAGGGAAATCATGCCTTACCAATCTGTTAGAATTCTTTGAGGGTGTCAACAAGCATGTGGAAAATGGTGATCCAGTTGATGTAGTGTACTTGAACTTTCAGAAAGTCTTTGACAGGGTCCTACACCAAAGGCTCTTAAGCAAACTAAGCAGTCATGGGATAAGAGGGAAGGCCCTCTCATGGATCAGTAATTGGTTAAAAGATAGGATACAAAGGGTAGGAATAAATGGTCAGTTTTCACAATGGAAAATGGTAAATAGTGGCATCCTGCAAGGATCAGTACTGGGACCTGAACTGTTCAACAGATTCATAAATGATCTGGAAAAGCAGGTAAACAGTGAGATGGCAAAGTTTGCAGATGATACAAAATTACTCAAGATAGTTAAATCCAAAGTTTACTCCAAAGAGTTGCAAAGGAATCTCACAAAACTGGGTGAGTGGGCAACAAAATGGCAGAGGAAATTCCATGTTAAGTGCAAAGTAATGCACATTGGAAAACATAATCCCAACTGAATTTAGAACATGATGGGGGTCTAAATTAGCTGTTACCACTCAAGAAAGAGATCTTAGAGTCATTGTGGATAGTTTTTTAAAAACATCCGCTCAGTGTGCAGCAGCAGTCAAAAAAAGCTAAGAGCATGTTAGGAGCCATTAGGAAAGGGATAGATAATAAGACAGAAAATATCATCATGCCTCTATATAAATCCATGATACACCCACACCTTGAATACTGTGTGCAGTTCTGGTCATTCCATCTCAAAAAATATATATATTAAAAGTGGAAAAGGTACAGAGAAGAGCAACAAAAATGATTGGGGTATGGAGTAGCTTCCATATGAGTAGAGACGAAAAAAGACAGGAACTCTTCAGCCTAGAGAAGACATGACTAAGGGGTGATATGATAGACCGCTATAACATCATGAATGGTGTGGAGAAAATGAATTAAAAAGTGTTATTTACCCCTTCACATACCATAAGAATCAGGGGTCACCAAATGAAATTAATAGGCAGCAGGTTTAAAACAAATATAAGGAAGTACTTCTTCACACAACGCACAGTCAACTTAGGGAATTTATTGCCAAGGGATGTTGTGAAGCCCAAAAGTATAACTGTTTTAAAAAAAAAATAGTTAAGTTCATGGAGGATAGCTACATCAATAGCTATTAGTCAAGATGGTTCAGCAAGACAGCCCCATGGTCTGTGTGCCCCTTAACCTCCAACTGCCAGATGCTAGGATTGGATGACAGAAGATGGATCAATTGAAATTGCTCTGTTCTGTTCATTCCCTCTGAAGCATCTGGCACTAGCCACTGTCTGAAGACAGGGTACTGGGCTAGATGGACAATAGGTCTGACCCATTATAGCCATTCTTATGTTCTTATGAGCATCATTTAACTTTCCTTCCTGCTTAATTCCTCCGCATCATCACCTCTCCTTCCCTTCTTCTATAGCCCAACAGAAAGTAGTAAGTTTAATGTAAATGAAACCTTCCACCAGTTATTTCATTCAGTTGATCATCTGACATTGTGGGACCTCTAGTGCAACAAAGATGTGATTCTCTGCTACTCCCACTGCAGCTGTACTGTGTCCGTGGTCTAAGGCACTTTATAAGGCAGGGGTCGGCAACGTTCGGCACGCGGCTCGCCAGGGTAAGCACCCTGGCGGGCAGGGCCAGTTTTATTTACCTGCTGACGCGGCAGGTTCGGCCGATCGCGGCCCCCACTCGCCGCGGTTCGCCGTCCCGGGCCAATGTGGGCGGCAAGAAGCGGCGCAGGCGAGCGATGTGCTGGCCGCGGCTTCTCGCCGCTCCGATTGGCCCAGGACGGCGAACCGCGGCCAATGGGGGCCGCGATCGGCCGAACCTGCCGCGTCAGCAGATAAATAAAACTGGCCCAGCCCGCCAGGGTGCTTACCCTGGCGAGCCGCGTGCCGAACGTTGCCAACCCCTGTTATAAGGTGTCCACTAATAATTTGGAAGAAGTTGAAGGGACTGCTTCTTTACATGACTGGAGAAACAGGCAGCATGGATTCAGTCCTCAGTGCACTTCTGTTCAGTTGAATCAACCATTGGAGTTGATCATCAATCATCAATTGGAGGTGGGAGCTGCAGAGAGGCCTTCTCTTTCCCTTGCAGATGGAAAAAAATGGTTCAAATAAAGCATATATATGTCAGTACCATTTAAGCCTTGGAGATTTATGATATGGGTGGTGTTATTTCGTTTTGTGGGAGTACTGGACACACTAGCATAAAGCTTTGTTTTTTGTTCTTTTTTTAAAAAAATCTGGTAGATAAGTAACCAATGAGAACTTGGTGACAGACTGCTTTTGTCCAAAAATCCAGGTTCTCATCTCCGTGCAAGGTGTCTACTTTCCTCTGACGCATCAGGTATCACTAAAGGCAGGATACTCGGCCCGATGGACAATTATTATTATGGCATTTTCTATGTGGAGTCTGCCTTACATAGACCCCAAAATAGAAGTCAAAGTACCACTCATTCTTGGCATTATATTGGCTTACATATTGCATACCTATATGTATTGCAGACATATAAAAAAATATTTCAGTTAACGTCAGGACAAAGGTTCCAACAATGAAAGAGACAGGCTTGTTGTGTATGCACGTTGGTTTTATTTTAAATTTAACTCTACTGTATTCAAATTTAGGGACAAGTGTCCAGAGTGAAAGTTGACAAATACATGGTTCAGGCTTTCCTGGGAGGATAAATAAAAACTGAACTAATTTAGATCTTGTTATTATTTATGTAGAGGCTCACCATATTTTACAAAACAAATAAGGCAGGGTTGAGGTTAAGTGTTAAGTGTAAAACTAATAATTTTTGTAATGTGTATGTACAATTTAATTATTTTATTATTTAGTGAGGACTGATCTTCTTTGCACTCTACAGATTTGGCCCAGGGCCTGTGCCATTTTGTGTAGTTGCTAGTGCCCTCCACCAGCAGCAAAAAGTCTGCCTGGTAGAAGTTGTGACAGAACAAAATGTCAGCAGTATTCTTCCCCTGGGAGGCATAGAGTGAGCCAACACAACCCAAAGTAGGAGATGGTGGTTGGGAAGGAGGCACATCATCTCAGCAACATGCACTGCAAGATTCCTAATGGCCTCTCTTTCATGTATAACCCCAATGGAGTGCAGAGTTAATATAACCAACTGCTCTTCTTTGAAGTGAATCCCTACAGTGGGATTCACAGGTGAAAATCACCCATTCTGTGCCAGTGTTGGTGAATCTAGCCCATACACTTTTTTTTTTTTTTAAGAGCCATGCTAAGAAAAATATTTCCAAAGCTATTTTTGACAGAGCCAATTTCATGAGCAATAATTTTTATACTTGTAAATTCTGTTCTGTAATTTGTGAACCACTTTTTTCTGCCAGTCCCAGTTTAATGGGCACTGAGCAGTTCATGCTGTGGTATTTGCTCTCAGCTTTCAGTTAAGTCATATAAAAGAGGCTCTAGGATATTTTGCATAGTGCTTGAGCAATCTACAACTCTTACATATGTATAACTAATGAAAATTTTGTATATGCAAGGTGTGCAGCATAGGGTCTTTACTTACAGCTAGATTTTGCTGCACTTAATGACACTGAACGGTACCTTACTCCATAAGGCTTGAAATACTTGCAGAGCAAGCATTGGCTTGCAAAACCCAGGGTTGTGAATTCAATCCTTGAGGGGGCCACTTAGGGATCGGGGCAAAAATCTGTCTGGGGATTGTTCCTGCTTTGAGCAGGGGGTTGGACTAGATGACCTCCTGAGGTCCCTTCCAACCCTGATAGTCTATGATACTAAACAAGTAAGCTGGCAGAATCTGGTCCTTGGTAATTTAAAAGGTTGTACTTTGAATAGTACAAGAAGTGAATTTAAACTGTGTACTTGGTAAACGAAAGTCCTTTTCCATGGCCTGAGCATCCCGAATGTCAGTGACTTGTGAATGGTGAATGCTTCTGAAAAACAGGTGTATATTACCCTCTGCAAGCATGTTTATAATAGGCGCAAACTTGACCCTTGCATATAATGTTTTTATTATTATTATTATTATTATTTATTTATTTATTTAACATTATTTATTTGGTTTTGTTTAAGGTGTGACTGCACAGAAAAGTTACAGAGTAAGTTTGATTTTTTGCGGTCACAACTGAATGACATTTCATCCTTTAAGAATATCTACAGATATGCCTTTGATTTTGCAAGGGTAAGTCTGTCTGATCATTAGAACATTTGAGTACAAGTTCCTTTATCAGTTTTTCCTAAGTGCTCCTTTCTTCGTAATTTTAGGATAAAGACCAGCGAAGTCTTGATATTGATACTGCAAAATCTATGTTAGCGCTTCTGCTTGGAAGAACATGGCCACTGTTCTCAGTATTTTATCAGTACTTGGAGGTATGCACTCTATTATTGTTTTAAAAAATAAATTCTCAGCTGTCTGGAGGGTGACATTACAGTGTGCTGCTGTAAGAAGAGGTTTTGAGGATTGTGCACCTCTGTGTGAGGGTACAGCTATATTGCTCCTCCATTGCACCTTGATTGACACATTTATGAAACAGCAATAGCTTCTGTATATCTCAAAGGAGAACTTCTTTTTCCTATCCTCTGCACCCTCCCAAGCCAAAGTGAGCTGTAATATAAGTAGCTGAAATTTCTTTCTTCTCATATCGAAAAGGTAAACTTGAAGTTAAATGTGCCTCTCTACCACTTAAGCCACTACATGACCCAAAGTGAGTATCTTTGGGGACTCTACTTTAGCTCATAGCCTGGAGGGAAGGAGAATCCCTTGTTGAATTTGATTCAGGGCAAGATGTAAAATATACCCTTTTTTCCAAGCTTCCCAATAACAGCCACTAGATTCTCCTGATATTTTATCTTCTGGATACTATTCACAACCAGTTTCCTCAGAGAAACTCTCTGGCTTCTGCAGAGGGTTGCAGAATATATCCCCCCTAATCTTCTATTTGTTTTTTCAGCTGGTGTTATATGCCCTTAGATACCAATTTGATGGGCATCTTGTGAATTGATGAAATAATGGATGTCAGTATCCAGTAATGGAATTGTGTACATTGGGAAATAACTCAAGACAACTCTAGAAATACTAAAAATTAAAGACATATTTTTATCAGATTCCCTGATTAAATATTTTTTTATTTTTCTTAGCAATCAAAGTATAGAGTTATGAACAAGGATCAGTGGTACAATGTGTTAGAATTCAGCAGAACTGTGCATGCAGATCTTAGCAACTACGATGAAGATGGTGCATGTAAGTGTTCATAACATTGTTTATTCAACTGTAGTTTCAATATTCCCAGTTCCCAGAATGGAGGAATAAATTTAAGTTCCATGAAAGGAAACTTTACTTTAAAGTACAAAATATAATTTAGAATAAATCTAAAGAAAAACTGGCCCAATGGCTTACAAGCAACAGGCCAGATCATCAGCAGTTGTTAATTACTGTAACTCCCTTGAAGCACACAGAGCTGTACCAATTTACAGGAGCTGAGGATCTGATCCATTGTGTTCAGCTGCTACATGACAACCGGGGTTTGGACACAATCTCTCTTTTGAGCCAATGAATGCTGGGCTCCAGTTAAACTGAGGCAACATAGTTTCCCATCGTTGGGGAATGATCTGTGGTTTTCTTCCAGCCAGAGCTAAAGTACAGTCAAGTATATTACATTTTTATTGAATAAGGCATCTCATATTGCTCCTTATTCTAGACAATAGCATGCAATTTTGAAATCTTTAGCAAAAGGGAATTCTTTAGCCTGGTTTGTAGCATAGCTCTATTAAGATGTTAATTTAATATCATCTTACTAATTTAATAAAATCTACTCAAACTGTCAAATGCTTTATTTTAAAAAACAAACAAACAAAACTTCACCTTCTCCAGCCCCCAAATACAACTCTCATTCATCAGTTTTTGGTGTGGTATAATTTTAGTTATCTTAAATTCTTCATAAACATTTGATCATAATAATTGACACTGAACACTACCTAGACTAAATGATGTAGCCTTTATAGTTCAAGAGGAGACTAAAAAGTAGTTTTTAAAGGCTTTGCATCTTGTAACTTTGAACATTGCTATTTCCAGGGCCCGTTCTCCTTGATGAATTTGTTGAGTGGCAAAAAGTTCGTCAAGTGTCATAGCAAGAACTTTGAAGAAAATGCAGAATTTTTTGATGCCCACCTCTATACAAACTAATGAGACAAAACCAAGGGTTGCATTTTCATGCTTATGAAAGACTTTACAGTGATTTTTTTTTTTTCCTTTTTTTTTTAAAGGAAGTTTTCTTGTTACATGTGATATGGGCATTGAACCACACCTCTTCTGAGACTGAAAGTTGGAGTTTGTTTTTGAGTCTTATGTTTATAGCATTTATTTCAGAACAATAAAGATCCAGATTTGTGACAAAGGCCTAAAAGTGAAGGATGTCCCATGAGTGTGGTGTCTATTTTTGAAATTCAAAACTTTTCAGATTTTACTTTCTCAGAAATGCCCTTTGCTCTGAGTTGTGTGGGTTTTTTCAAATGTGCTTAACTGGCACTGTAGTATGCTGATGGTATGATTGTCTTGTGCGATACAAGTTAGAAGGAATGACTGTTGATCTTAAGCTCTGGGTGGTATTTTATTCGTTTGCACACTAGTATCAGACATGGGTTGTGCCACAACATTCATCTCCAGGTGGAGACAAAGGCCTTAAAAATTCATTTTTCTCCACTACTCAGTCAGGGCTGTATCATTTAAAGGCATGGCCATTTTAAAAAAGTCATATGTGCATGGCTCCATATGCTGTATAGCTAGAAAATAGTCACTTGTATATCAAACGGTACTAACGTTAATACTGTTTGGTACAACAAGGCAGCTGGACATTCTTACCACAGTTTAGTCTCTGGATTGTTTTGAGTGAAAAGTGCAATTTATATTTTAAAAGGGAAAGCTGGGAACACCTAATGACTTGGCTACAAGGCTAATTTAGGTTCTTATACATTGGACTAGACGCATTCACAAAGGTGATCCTCTTAACTGTTGCTCCCTGAAGGTTTCTTTTTATATATATATATTTAAGGCCAGAAGGGACCATTAGATCATCTAATTTGACCTCCTGTATATCGCAAGCCATTACATTTCCCCCAGTTACTCCTGTATTGATCCCTATAACTGCTTTCCATTGCCTCATTTTGGCATCTGATACCAGCTCACAGCATTTAAATCTGGGGGAATGGTATCACTATACTTTCCTATCAGTGAAGATGGATTGGCATACTCGTGAAGAAGAGGGAGAGGAATTTAATGAGAAAATGTGGAAGTTTGGGATGAGTGAGGGAATGAAGCATTTGTGACCCCTGCCTTATTATATTATTACTTATACTGTAGTAGAACCACACAACTCCAATCAGTGATCAAGGCCCCATTGTGCCAAATGCTGTAAATGCAAAAAATAAAAAACATAGTGTGCTCCTTGGGGCAGGGACTACGCTAGCTGTGACTTGAAGATCTTTGCCTCAGGGAAGTGATAACTGTTTTGCACACATTCTATCCAGGCTCAGGAAAGACCAGGAAAACTCATACCTGATGTAACTTTTTTCCTGGCTTCAGTAACTAATTTACAGTAGACAAAAGGGGGGGAAATAGTGTCTCCATGTTCTTGTTGTTCTACAGTAGAGAAATGTTACTACTCTTTCTAGATTTACCGATTGTTCAAGGTGCAGGAGACAATGACAGCCAATGCTGTCCCATGAGCAGTCTTATAGGGGTCACTTTATACTGTAGATTTACACTTCTTTTATGGCTCTGTCCAAGTGAAGAAGCATTGCAAAAGACATTGAAACACTTTGAGCTTGCTATTCTTATACAATAGCTCATCTCCACACACATACTACAGTTGTCCTAAGCATTTTTCAGGCCTTTTAGAAAAAAGACCTTTGCTTAAGTCTAGCTGATGTGTGCAGTCTACAACATTGTCTCCCAAGTATGAAAGCCACACATTCTGTATTTGCTGGTACTTCTAATTTCATCCACAACACCGTGCCTTTTGTTTGCAAATTACTCTATATCTTCTGCAGAGAAGCAGTGCCAAGTCCTTTGAGAGTTATTTCAGCAGTCCCAGAATGCATTGACAGAGCAAGAGTTATAAGGTATGTGGGATCAGTATGCACCAGAAAAAGTTCTAAGGAAAAACAAAAACTGCTATGTGGGTGCCTTGAACTGTTGGAAGCAGCAAAACATGAAATGAATTCTTGAAGTTAAGCAAGTATATCATTGCCGGGAGAGTGTTCAGATCCTGTGAGGCTCAGAAAGATTAACTCTTTTCCAAAAGTCTTGGAATATAGGTTAAGACATTAACTGTTTGTAGTGTAAAAAAAATTATCCTTGTAAGTAATTGAGAACCATTGTGAATTCTGTTTAAACAAGATGGTCCTAGGAGGTGGTAATAGTGTGAAATGGAGTGATGCATCTGCCAATGCCCAGGTGTTTAAATACTTAATGTTGCGATACAAATTGATATATCAGAGTGTCTTTATATCTCTGAAGTTTTTGTCAGTATTCCTATAATAAATCCATATTTCAGGGATTTATAACTTGCTTGTGTGTGGTTAAAAATCATATGAATTACTGTAACTACTTAGCCTGGGAATGAATGTATTTAGACTTTTAAAAAATCAGTATAACTTTTCAAATTGAATAAAACAGAAGCAGGTTTTTAAAGTTATGTTTTTGTGCTCATAACTGCAGTCGGGCTTGTTCTTTAAATGTGAACTACTGGCTTACACAGTTTAAATGTGGACTTGTCACTTTATCTGTTTTGTTGGAGGGGAGAGTACTTAAACCTCTCTACATCTTATTGCAGATAAGTGCCAAAAAGGCTACTAATGTATTTCCTCACCTGTGTGTCCATGTCCACAAGCCAAATCTGAGTCTATCTGAATGCTTTAGCCTCAGAATTTAGTTTTGCTTTGCTCAGGAGCATTTCAATCAATGGATTAAAAATCTACAACAACGTTTTCATTATATTAAAAAAAGAGAGTTCACAAGTAAAATGCATTGTCACATTTATGACAATAAAAGCAAAGAAACGTAAGTGGAATAAAATATATTGTGTCTTCCAAAACCTGATGATAATGGTGTCTCTTCTGTGATATTCTAAATAGAAAACTCCCCCTCAGTTCTTATGTTTTCAGCTAGTTCCTTTTTATATGCCTTGTGTGGGTAATGTAAAATTTTCCTATTTCATAACAGTTCATATTTATTTATTTTTAAAAAGAAATGTTCAGAGTGAGGAGGTTAATAGTTCATCTATTTAAAGATTTGACCCATTATTTAAAAGTCGTAGTAATTAAAGGGTTAGCTATGTGTTCAATATAATGCAAACACTTATTCACATGCCTAACGTTATGCTTGTGCATAAAGTTCACTTACTTACGCATAAAGTTAAACATGCATATGTGTTTGCAAAATTGGGACCTATGTTAGCTCTTTGTATCGTATTTAACTTTACCATTTAAGCATCTACTCCTTTCCTAATATGACTTTGTAATTTCACTTGTTTATATGGTGGAATTGTTTACATTAGGATTTGATTAATACAGATACAAACTTGTTATAGGTCACATTGTCAGAAGGGGGTATGTCATAGTCCATATTTGAACTGTTTTGTTATTTCTTGGATATCCTTGTTTCACCTTTCCAAAGTCTTTAAGCAGAATTACTGGTAGTGATGACAACATGCAATTTTCAACAGGGACCATAAATTTAACTAATGTTTCTGATGTATTTTGTTTTCAAAGCTAGTGAATAGTTTTGTGCAAAATGTACAAACTTGTCTAAGTTTGGCCTTGTTAAAAATAAAGAATAAAGATAACTTACGTAGTAGGGCAGAAAATCTGTTCCTGCTTCTGTCATGGTGCCTCTTTATCAGTTATTCATTTGTGTATATTCCACTGTGTTTAAAATCAAATGTACAACATCGTGCTAAAACACAGCTTTACTGAATAACTTCTCTGTCTCTGCCTGAGTTGCTGGAGAATAGAGATTTGTTCTCAAATAAGAGCAGCAAAGTGACATGTCAACTTCTGTAGCAGGCACTTAATCGGAGTAAACAGTTACTAGACAACAATTATTGTCTCTACAAGTGCTGCTAATAATCATCCCATATGTATCACATACTGGACCAGATAACTTTTGCAACAAGTAGCTCCAACTTCCACCCTGGAAAAGGAACACTTCATCTGATTACCACTCTCTCGTGCCATGTTTTTCAATGCACTTTCCCGTGTACCCTTTTAGTGTCTACTCCAGGGAGGAATTGAAACAAGGATCCAGCCATCTGGCTGAGTTAGAAACATTGGATTATCTGCCTCCTCAAGATTCTGACCAATTTGTACATATAGTTTCAAGAACAACCTTTAGCACATTAATTCCTGCTGTATGTTGCGTTGGCACCTTCATTCTGTCTTACAATAGACACTTGCATATTGCTTAAGGTAATAGGACATGACTGGGGCTAGACATACACTAATATATTGACTTCTAGGGAAAATCCTGCACAGCTCAATAATTGTGACAAATTGTGGGCGTCAAGTACACTACTGCCTCCCATCCCCTGGCACCCTATCCAAATTGAAATTGAAGTATTTCTTCAGCCATTCATGTTAGGGTTTTTTTTGTTTTTGTTTAATATATTTAACATTATTTTCTAAAAGTCTTGAAGGCAAATATTTTGTAATTATGCCTCCATACGTAAGCAAAGCTACTGTATGACCTGTTTACTCAATGGAGTGCGTCAAGAACACTTTGCTGCTTGACAGTTGATTGGACTGTCAATGACATACAGACTGCAGAGCCAGAGGCAAGAACTCTCCTCTACCAAGGCTCTTTACAAGACCTTTTTCAGCTATTAAACAAGATCCATACCACTACCCCATGTTCTTCAGCCTCCATGCTGGGGCGGGAATTTGAAGATATCTCTTCATTCCCAAATCAAATTGGTGGAAGCTGGTCTGTAAAACTAGGTATGTCAAACACATTGTGATCAAGCAACATTATATCCAGCACTGTTTACCCCTTGCATTTCTGTAACCTTCAGTCACCAGGCTTTCTCTATAACCCTTTCTGAATTCAGGCACTGTCCTGACAGTACCCTACCAGCATGGCTATTATTCTAGCCTACATTTTAGAATGAGTGCTCCAGGTTAAGTACCTCTTGTCCCTCTGTACATTTCAATAAAAGTCAGCAGTTTGTGGTGTATGAGAGTAAAGGCTGCAGGACCTGCTGTTCACAATGGCCAAAAGTATTGTAAAGAAAGCAATATTCATGAGAAAATCCAAAACAAAGGCCATGAGTATGAAATCATATTTAGGCTAAAAGCTGCATACCAACCCTCATGGATGGAGTAAAACCTTTCATTCAAATAATAAAATCCTTCCTTACTTA